CCTCGCACTGCACTCCCCCCTTGCGCTGCTTCTTCTTGCGTGTGCGGCGGCTGCTGCGATGGCGGCGGCGTGAGGGAGCCGTGCGCAGCTCCTCCGTCCCTTCGTTATTTCTCTCTTTTTGCGTGTGTCCTCCTGCACGGACTGTCGCCCTCGCCCCACCCCACGAGGCACACACGTAATGTGTTCATGCATACACGCACACTCATGCAGGCCCGTTGGTTTTTAATTTATTTTGCTTTCAACGCGCTGCCGCCGTTCTGCTTGGCTGCATGGGTAGAGCACCGTAACTGTTTTTATCATTTTAATTGTTTTCGTTGCTTTCGGTGGGCGGCCTCTTTCTCCCTCCTTCTTCCTGGATTGGGCTGTGCGGGAGGAGAGGGAGTGTGCGTGCGTGCTGGTCGTCCCACTTGCTGCTGCGTGTCCCCACTGCTCGGTGGACGCTCCACGCTTCAGCTTCACTTCACGGGGTGTGTTTTGTTGTTTCTTTGTGTTTGTTGGTTGTGTTTTTGTTGGGTGCAATTATTCTGCAGCCTCTGCCGGGGACGTCTGTTTTTTGCAGGCGCCTGCATGTTTGTGTGTGTGTGTGTGCCCTTTTCTCCGTCTCTTTCCCGTGTCCACGTTGTTGGCCGCTCGTTGTCGAAGCAGCAAAGAAGCATCATTTTGTTTTGCGCGCACGCCATGCTGCGGTTTCCTCCTGCCCCGTCGCAGTCTGCGCGGCTGCTGATGGTAATTGTGGTGGCGGTGTGTTGTGGCTGCAGCTGCGTTGCTGCGGGCCCGGTGTCGTACCCCTGCAGCTTCGATGAGGTGATGCGGGGTGAGAAGTTGTTGTCTGCCCCGGTGGTGAAAGTCGTCCCTTCGGCAGGTGAGCCCCAGTCGGAGACGTACGTTGTCGTGACGGAGAAGTGGGCGCCGATCCGCATTGTGGCGTCAATGAAGGACCTGGAGGATAAGAACAAGCACTGCGGGTTGCCTACGGGTTACAAATCGAATTTGCGTGGCGGAACTGTCAGCTGTTCACGAGAAGACGTTTTAACTCGAAATGGCAAGAAAGAAATACTCACCAGCGCCATTAATGTCGCCATCAAACTGCACGCGGACCGTCTTCTTGTCCAGCCGCTGAAGGCTCCGTTGAAGGTGCCAAACTTCCCCGAGAAGAGCATTTGCAGGCAGTTCACGGTGCCTGATGTGCACCGTTCCGAGGGCGTTAAGGATGCCGACATGGTGCTGTACGTGGCGGCTGCGCCGGGCGGTGTGTGGGCGTTGCCGTGCGCCACGCTGGATAACGGCCGCCCAATCGTTGGGGTTGTGAACTTTGGCCCGGCGGATCTGCGTTTTCTCCGGCTCGCCACTCGCATCGCCGCGCACGAGATCGCCCATGCCTTGGGGTTCGCCTACGGGAAGATGGTGGCGAGCCGCATGGTGTCGAATGTGACCAGCGTGCGTGGCAGGGCGTTGTCGGTGGTGGTGAACTCGACGAACGCCGCGATGGCTGCGAGGGAGCACTACAACTGCAAAGGCATTCAGGGCATGGAGCTGAATGACTTCAAGGGGGACGGGACGGGGCTGGAGTCGCACTGGTCACAGCGCAACGCGAAGGACGAGCTGATGGCTCCGCTCGGGGGTGCCGGCTACTACACGGAGCTGACGCTGGCCGCCTTCGCCGACTTGGGCTACTACAAGGTGAACTGGGCGAT